GCTTTGTAAAAATCTACGCGTTTCAGAAAGGCGGGGCATAGAGGAGAAACAATAATGTACAGTATGTGGAAAATAATGTGTTTTTTGAACCTTAAACCGCATAAACACATTTCATTACACCAAATACACAAAATAATGTTCTTTTTAGCAACATCATATGACCCCTTTAAATAAAGTCGTGCATGCTTGACGTTTAAAATAAAAATTGTTTATAGTTAATGCCCCTATCATTTTTGTCTGTTTTATGTTTATGATTTAGTTTTAATCCAAATGATCCATGAAACTTTTTGTTTTACTTGCTTTTGACATATCCGACCGAACTACAAACTATCCAGTGATCTCTGTGAGAAAGGGATATTCGCACAACAAGCTCGCGCATCTCCGCCACCGCGCGCTCAATCCACTCAGCGTGCTTTGCTTATCAGCTTACACATCAGATATACTGGCGTGAATATTGAATGTTTAGCATTATATTAATTACTTACATGTTCTGTACTTCCTAGATATCCTTAATCTATAATAACTCCATTCTGCTCTCTGTTGTTCTGTTGTCGGTGTTTCTTTGTCTGGACTAAGGTGACCAGATTTCTGAAATGAAAACTGGGGACATTTCCTAGTTCAGTGGTAAAAATATCACTGAAATCTCACTTGTGATTATCTAAGAATTTAAAAAACGTGGACAATAGTACATAGTAACGGGGAAAAAATTGTAAATAGTAACTACTGCAAATAGCAAACATATCACAACAGTATTATAACAAAATTATGTCTTTCCAAAATCACATTACAAATAAAACAATAAATATGAGAACATATGATAAATAAAACTGTATTTAACAAATATGTTTAATAAGTTCTAACTGTATTTAACATTTTCACAAACTATACAGTAATTACAACTTTCTCAAATTTTATGTTTATGCTTTTGGAAATGGATCTTTTCTATCCCTAATCAAGCTTATTACTTTGCATTTTAGGCTCATTTTGACCACAAAGTATGTGCTTTCTGCTAATTTAATTTTGCAAGTGTAATTGATTAATTTATTATTTTTTATATTATTCATATTGGAGTTGTGACGGTGAAAGTTTCAGGAATGTTTAATATTGTGTACAAAACAATCCCGCAACCTTATCATGCTTTGTTATACAGTGCACACAAACAGTATTACTTTGTTTTAACATGTATAGTTAGTATGTGACTACCTTGAAACCAATAACAGTGTCTCTTTTGACAATAGCAGAGATAGCGTTCTGCTCTCGTCCAAGTTCTTCATGGCTAAAGTAGCAGCGTGGGACCAGTGACCAACTAATTTTCAGAGAAAGTTGCTAAAGGAAGGTCGATTTGTTGCTAAAAGACGTTGTGATGTCATTACGCAATGATGTCATTGTGTAATCACGACGCAAAATTGTCACATCATCAAATCTCAGCAAAAAATATTATTATTATTGAATTGAACGATTGCAAATAGCAGCTAACTCAATTCACGTGATGTGTGTACTGCTAGGCATCTGTGGTTTCCTCTTTTTGTGTAATTTGGATGGGAAATGTGTGCCTATTTATTGTCTGAGTCACTTATCAAAAGTTGCCAAATACATTTTTTAAATTGCTAAATTTGTTGCTAGGTACTTTTGAAAGAAAAAGTTGCTAGGGTAGTCTGAAAAGTTGCTAAATTTAGCAACAAAATTGCTAAGTTGGCAACACTGCTTGGGACCAAGTAATCAGTATAGCTCGCAGCGCCCTCTGCTGGTGAAAATAATCACAATCATTCAATTGCCAGCTGGCTATGTTGTTCGGGCTTTTACAGTGTATTTGCGGGTTGCCAGTGACAGACAAAGACAAAGAAACACCTACAACAGAACAACAGAGAGCAGAATGGTGTCAGGGACAGGACACCAAAAACTAGAAAACGGGCACGTCTGGTCACCCTAGTCTGGACACAGCACTGTTAACACTCTGTGTGGTATCGGAGCATTTTAATGAGTACCAGTACAAAAACAGGAGCGCAGTATCAGGCCCGATACCAGTATCAGTATCAGTGCGTCCCTAGTGTTGGTGCTGGAGCAGGATTTAATCTGGAAGGCAAGTGGTGACTAAATGAGAGAGGAAGAGACAAATCTCCATTTAAAGAGAATACTTAATTACCTGACACAAGAGCTGCCTTCTTCCTGTCTGGGCGAATCAGGTGACTCCTTCTCTTACACTTCTTCATCCTAACGTCATCCTTCCACCACTCTGATTGATCAAGAGCAAGATTGTGTTTATGGATCTGGTGAGTATTTGTGTTTCTAACCTAGAAATGCCTGGTGAACAAATATGCTTAAAATGTCCCCACAAGTCTGTCAATAGTGTTAATAATATTAAGTGCATAATGTTTTTATTAAAAAATAAGTAATCTTATAAATGCATATAAATTGTATGAATAACAAAACACAAAAATTTAAATAAATTGTTTTCTTTTGGGGATATGGTTTAGAGATTTGCATGAACTGAGTGCATGCGAGAGTATGTGACCTGACTTTTCACTCAGTCTCTTTACTTTTCCTCTCTCAGCGAAAAGACCCAGATGACAGACTCTCACAGCATATCTGATACACAAATTTCTAAGGCCTCTAAATTATCAACATGATCAAAACTTTGCTAAAAACCTGTTGTATACAACAGTACACAAGTATCTATATACGTATCTACTACATGCCTTCTGCTGTCTGACTGATATTTATTTTTTTGGCAAGTTAAAGGCCTTTTATTATGATTCTAAACACATCTCCCTTCAAGTCCCAGTAGACTTGACACTTGTACACTTGCTGTGAAATCTTTACTGATTTTTATAAAATAAACAAGAATAACTGGACTGAAGCAACTTAAATAAACTTCATATAAACACAGTTATCTGGAAGGCAAGTGGTGACTAAATGAGAGCGGAAGAGACAAATCTCCATTTAAAGAGAATACTTAATTACCTGACACAAGAGCTGCCTTCTTCTTCCTGTCTGGGCGAATCAGGTGACTCCTTCTCTTACACTTCTTCATCCTAACGTCATCCTTCCACCACTCTGATTGATCAAGAGCAAGATTGTGTTTATGGATCTGGTGAGTATTTGTGTTTCTAACCTAGAAATGCCTGGTGAACAAATATGCTTAAAATGTCCCCACAAGTCTGTCAATAGTGTTAATAATATTAAGTGCATAATGTTTTTATTAAAAAATAAGTAATCTTATAAATGCATATAAATTGTATGAATAACAAAACACAAAAATTTAAATAAATTGTTTTCTTTTGGGGATATGGTTTAGAGATTTGCATGAACTGAGTGCATGCGAGAGTATGTGACCTGACTTTTCACTCAGTCTCTTTACTTTTCCTCTCTCAGCGAAAAGACCCAGATGACAGACTCTCACAGCATATCTGATACACAAATTTCTAAGGCCTCTAAATTATCAACATGATCAAAACTTTGCTAAAAACCTGTTGTATACAACAGTACACAAGTATCTATATACGTATCTACTACATGCCTTCTGCTGTCTGACTGATATTTATTTTTTTGGCAAGTTAAAGGCCTTTTATTATGATTCTAAACACATCTCCCTTCAAGTCCCAGTAGACTTGACACTTGTACACTTGCTGTGAAATCTTTACTGATTTTTATAAAATAAACAAGAATAACTGGACTGAAGCAACTTAAATAAACTTCATATAAACACAGTTTTTAGAATAATCACATTAAATTGTACCAAATAAGATACACCAGGCTTTAGACAAATGTTTTTCTATATCTCTTAATCATCATTACATTGCATTGCGTTATATGTTTTGCCCCAAACAATAAGAACTGCAGAGCTTTGATCGTAAAACTAAGCATTTAAATGTCATTTTATTAAGACATTATTGGGAGATACAGAGGGACAACTGATATTTATATACAATTTATGTTATTAGTCTGCTATACGGTTATAAAGAGCTAATTGATTTACAATACAAGCTGTCAGAATTTCATCTTACCTCTGGCTATATAAATATCAGCAACTGCATATTGTCATTAATTAATCATTTTTCATAACTCAGTTACACTAATATCTTCATTTTTACACTATAATACTTGTATTTAAATGAATGAATTAATACTTGTTTCATAATTCATTGTCAATACATTGTGTGAAATGATTGTTTGTTCCTTACTGTCACTGTGAAGCGTCCTTGAGCTTGGGAAAGGCGCTATATGAATTAAACAAATTATTATTATTAATCCAGTTAATACCATCATTTTACTTTATAATTTTTTCATCAATGTAGTTGTTTCATTGCAGGATGATGTCTATTTTATGTTTGTTGTGCAGCACTTTGGTTAGCACTTGTTTAGCTTTTTAAGGTGCTATATAAGCAAACCTTGACATTACACACCTCAACGCAAAATCAAAATATTAAGTAAAAAACAAACGCAAAAAAAAAACAGACCCAAACCTGCTTTTAAACAGTTTGACAAGCCCCGTTGTTTTGGGTTAGGTAGCGCACCTCTATTAAGGTTAGGGATTCAGATGGAGTAATAATATTTAGCTTTACATGAAACAGAAGACGTCTATGCAGACATCAAGTGTGCCTCACAAGTCTTGAAAAGTGAACCCAAAAGTTTCGATCGCCCCCGCCCTCTCCATGTAATCTAATGGGACGTGAGACAAACTAAATAACACAATTTCACTTCAAATAATTTTTTTTTTAAATATGTTTTTTGTCATTTTATGTAGTTTTTATCACGCTGATGTAAGTTCAAGTGTTCGATTTTTAAATAAGTTTGGTTTTAGTTAGTTATGTGGTGCTATAAAAATGGGGGTGTGACGTCATGATTGACAGTTGAGATTGACAGCTTCTCTGAGCGAACTGAGGCACCAACAAACTTTTTCGGGATCTTCAGGAGGAGACTGGAGTTGTATTTACCTTATTTTAACAGAAGCCTCTTGTACGGCAATCAGCAGACCAAAATTGGAGCAGTCAGGCTAATTAAAAAAAGGGTCAGGGGCGTGTGCTTGCGATCGACTCTACGGGAGTGTGGGCGGGACGCAGCTCCACTTCGCTCACTACTGCGCAGACTGGTCCCAAATCAGCGCAATATATCCGCACCCTATTGGGACATTGGCGGCTTCTCTTTTCTTCAATGGAAGTGAGTGAAGGTGTGCCGTCCATCTTTTTTACAGTCTATGGCAGACATATATCCCTACTCTGATAGCCAGGTAAACGTGTGTGTGTGTGTGTGTTTATGTACCTGAGGTGATATCTATGCTCTGTTTGTCCTCCTCCAGTCTGCGGATCTTCTCCAACAGCTCTGTTTTTATGGCATCAAACAAGAGTGTCCTCTCACTCTAGAAAAACAAGCATCTCATTATCACACACACACACCGACTCGATATGATTCATGATCATCACTGCACTGTCAACAAACAAACAAACAAACAAACAAACACTGTTTTGGAAGAGACATGCAAGTATTTATTTACAGCAGTGCTTTTTCACTGTGGTGTGTTTTTTTGTGATACTTCTTCTAGATTATGATAAATATGCTGTGTGCATGTTTGTGTATGGATCTGCATATTGAAATGTTTCATTACTACTAGGCATGCAAGTTTGTCGAATCATACAATAGTACCATGGTATTACCATGTTTTTTAAGCATGGTACCAATGTACATTACGTAACAACTTTTTTGTACCATGAAATTTCTGAAATACCCTGTAGTACCATGTAAATTTCATGGTACATGAATATATATGACACATCATTTAGTACCATAGTAACACAGAAGTAGCTTTTAGTAAAGGATGCTACATCTAGATATGTGGGTCAGCTGAGCCGTGTTACCTCTAGATGCTGTCTTGCCCCCTGCACTTCACATTCATGTTTGTGTCTGACCACTTGCAGACAAAGTTCTCTATACACACCTACAGGAGGAGAATTAAAAGATGACCTGAGACCTGTGGCTCATATGTAAGCGAGATAACATAAAGCAGATATGTGCGTCCTGATATATGTCACCTGCCACTTGTGTCCTCTGCTGTAGGTTCTGTTGCAGTGTTGCCAAGGGTTCTCTGTACTCTCCCGCCTTTCCTGTCATAACCTCATCCAGCTTCATTTTAACCTGGTTCAGACGTTCTTGAAAAAGCCTGAAATTGTAGAGGAAATCATCATCAATAGAGCTCTACAGAGAATTTGGTTCTTAGAAAAATATAATTAGTTTGAACAATACAATACAGAATATACTATTTTTTATTGGTGGCCATCCACCCCATATGATGGCCCTGTTCCTATTGGTCAAAAAAATGAAATGCCACCTAGCCTAAACCAATTAGAAAGAAGTATTCGTACTTGTCTTTTAACTCCAGGAATTGTTTTTCCAGGTCAGACATTTCATCTAGGCACTGTAATCGTCTTCTCTCACAATCTTCATCATCCATTTCTAAAAAAGAGAAAACTCACTCTCATTCAATGTTGTTCATCCATGCTGTTCATTCTCTTTTCCTATCAATTCCAGTCAGTCTTCACATTAATATACTACATTCTATGTATCACTATATGATCATTTTTGGCTATTTGGATGTTATTCAAAAGCAATATGCATTCAAGTTACAAGATTTGCGGGAATTTGTCAATTGACAATAGTCATGCAAAAAATTAAAAGAAAATGTCAAAAGTCAAACAAAAAGGCTTAAGTGTCTTTATGCAAAATATAACACAATATTATAACATATGTAATAATCATTTTTTTGGTTGAGGGGGAGGGGGGTTAGGGGGAGGCGAACTATTACTCTCCCAATGCAACCACTTTGACAGCTGCTGCAACACAACTGCAGACAGTTAGGAAGAAAACAATTAAATATTCAATCAGCAGACCTGAACTTTCTTCCTCTTCCTCCTCTGGCTCACTCTCCTCCAGGTCGCTGTCCCTCTCCTCTCCACTCTCCTCCATTGTCTCCTCTGCCTCTCCTCCCTCTCGCTCCTCCTCCACCTCACCGTTAGTTTGAGGAACCTCAGGGTCGGCCTCTGTCTCCATCTCCTCCTCTGGTTCTCTGGCAGCCGGCTGAGCTGGCATGACTGTTTATAGCACTGTATTGAACAGTATAATAACAGCGGTGAGATCTCATGGCGTCTAATGCAGTAAATAAAAATGTTAATTATTACAATTTTATAATATATGATTATATATAATTTATATTTAATTAAATGTTAGAATAATACTGCATATTTTTCCATGTTTATATTTTCATATTTCTTATTCACCTTATATCTTTCTAGGCTGTATGATTTCAAACATTGTAGCATAAAAAGAACCATATGTCAGTACCGGAAGATGTGAAAATGATGTGCATGCCATGTACTGACCAGTCTAAAGACCTTTAGAGGACACTAGCAGCTAAGAGCACAGTATCCTGAGACAGCAGCAGCTGTTTAAGACCCTATTAACCACTTTATGTTTAATTAGAAAGAGGAAACCCCATGCACTCGTCTGATACAGTTCGTAGTATGATGAATTAGGAGCACGTTCACAGACTCGACGTGTATCATGTACGTTACATCCTCCAAAGGCCGCACTGCACTGACTTACGTTACAAGCTCATTACTCATTCTCCACATCTATAGCTCATACATTATATGCTGTGAAAGACATTAATAGTTACAGTTTCGTGCTGTTCACAAAGAATTGTGGATTTAGGTTAGTTATAAAAACTCGTTTTCCAACTGAACAACTCCACACTTCATTCAGAGACATGAAGTGTTCAGTATAACGCGGTACAGTAATGTTAATGCACTAGAGTGGAAAAAACAAACGGTTGCGCCTTTAAAAAAAAAAAACTCAATTACAACGTAGTAATGGATTAACTTAACGTTACTTTGGAACGTTGCATTGAATCTCTTGATCGCTCCATGAATGTTTGCAAATTAACCGATGCAAGAAACAGGATAACAATACACGACGATCTAACAAACAACCTCTATTAAGTGCATAAACAACAACTAAACAGCTTACCTTCTTGTCGATTATTGTTTAAGTCATGAAAAATATTACATGCTGTCGACTGAATTTGCATATCAGGGCAAGTTGACATCGGACAAATCTACTTCCTCAGCGTTTATACGTTTGTTGAAACACACTACCGTTGTGAGGCGCTAGCCAATCAATTCAGACCTCGCTACTTTTAAGAACCAATAGAAGCTCGATGGTGAAGAATCGTGGTGTCATCGATTTCAGTTCGGTGGTCAAACTGGCCAATAGCATTTGGAGCTGAAAACCCACGAACTTTCTACCAACTGACAAGGTTTCCCTAAAAAGACCGGCTTGAGATATTTCATAATGGACAGAAGAGAAACATATTTTAATAGAAATTCAACGAAGATTTTTATTCAGTTAAGTAAAGAAAAGGAAACAGCAACACGAAAATGTAATTTAACATATTTTTATTAAAGTTGCATAAAAGTGTAACAAAATTGGGCAAAAAACCAAGACAGTTTAGTATTGCTACAGGATACTTTTTTTTTCTTCAAAAGGTATGACCTTGAGTACATTTTTCCTAAATTCATATTATTGTTCCTTTTAAATCCAATTGATTCTTTCAATCCTCCCGTGTATCATTTACACAGAAAAGAGAAATCAACAGCACTACAAGGTGCATATAATGATAAAAACTGATGATTCTATTTTGTTAATAGTTAATGCATCTAAAAAAAAATTGCTTAGTACATAGTCAACTTCCTTCCCTAGAAAAAAAAAAGAAGAATCATTGAAAGTACAAGAACCTTTTATTTAATTCTAAAACTTCAAAAAGATTTCCACTTTTGCAGATATTTTTTTCTTGCATGTTCCTCAAACATTATTAAATTCATTTGGTTGTCATAACATAAATGTAACCTAAGGCAACATCTGAAAGTAGGGAGAGTGACTCTCATGTCAAATGAAATGCAGAGGTGAAATAAAGACATAAAATTAAAATGGGGGGCCAAAGAAAAAAAAGAGCGAGCAGAGAAAGAGAGAAAACAGTTGTGAGTCCAGGACAGTTGTCATTGTACCTTACTTCATATAATTCACAAGTGAACTCAGATGGGATGAGGAGGAGCATCAATGAATGATTAATATGTGCAGATGCTAGTGATGTGTTAGCATGTTATGGGAAAAGCTCTTCTAAAACACCTGCTGAAAATGTTGGATTGGTGAATCTCAAGAGCACTGAGTGAGACTATTAGCCCTCTTATTATAGTATTTGATTGGCTGAGACAAAAAGAGCAGATGGCTTCCTGGGAAAGATGATTTAGGAGAGTCACGTGAGAGGATTAATTCTAAACGTACGTTTGCCAGTGACCGTGACACACTGCAGCTTGTCTAGCATGATCTCCAGTCTCTCCCTATCGGTCTCTGGAAGAGTCCGTCTGTACATCTGTGGATGTGTGAGGCCCAAAAGCCACAGCTGTGGTTGTGTGTGTGTGGTAATTTCTCCTGATCCCTGAGGGTGGTGATGCCCATGAATTTCAGAGAGTGAGTGAGTGAGTGTGTGTTTGTGTGTGTGGCATGTGTAAGACAGGGGAAAATTAAAGAACCAAAGCCCCAATTTTTTTCCTACACACAGCTCCCTTCCCTGTTAATACCACAAAGCCAAACTCCCTCGCTTTAAAATAGCTTTAAACACTCTATTTTTTTTTTTTTTTTTGTAATTAAAATGTCCATGAATGTTCCTGCACACTTATTCAAGGAAGACGAGACTCAAAAAAAAAAAATGAAATAAAAAATGAAAGAAAAAATTTTTAAAAAAGAAAGAAAAAAAATGTATCCACAAGGCCACTTCTGTCTAATCCCTTCTGATGTCATTTTAAACCAAGTATCGTCACAGTTTCACAAAGGGTTTTAGTCCATGTGTTCATTGAGACAGGGAGCTTTGAAACCTTTGAAATTAAAACTAAATTACCAAATTAAAATCTAAAGAATATAATGCACAGTAATGTATACCAACATGAAATACATTTAAAAACAATGAAATCTTTCCACCTTTACAAAAAAGTGAAATAGAATAAAATAATACAAATAAAATCAACATAATGAGAAAATAAGCCCGGCTTATAAGGATCTGATTGAATCTCCCATAATTTTGCCTCCACCTCCTCCCCAATGGATGCAAAAGAGGCAATGGGACTGGATGAGCACCTGCTCAGGGGTGAATAGTCACACCCCTAAAATTGGAAAAGGAGGGATGAGATTGGTTGAAGGAGGGTGGAGGTGAGAGAAGCTTCATTTCTTCTGAGGAGTACTGAGCTTCTGCATGCCACGGATCCTGTTCAGCAACTCAGCTACAAACTCCTACAACGGGGAAAAAATTGAGTACGATTTTTAACAAAATAGCAGAGAGGTGGGTAGTTAGCACTTCAGATTCTGCAGATTTCCACATAATTATAACAGGCATAAGTCCTAAAACTGTACACTCATTACTAACAGAATTACACGGGGCTGTTGAATGCTTGGAATCTGACTGGTTGACGAACATTCTAAGGTAAGCAATTGTTTTCAGGGAAGCGCACAGATAAAGCAGTTCCAGGCAGTGGTAACCGTAGTATAAGCAGAATAATTGATGACGGGCCGTTGAATTATTAGAAAGTAATGCACACCCTGAGGTGTAACTTCGCATTGCTTCACATCGTGGCCGCATCACTGTAGCGTCTGGACCAATCAGACACACCATTTTTCATTTGACCACCTCGGGTGTGCGTTATTTTCTAATAATTCAATGGCCCGTCATCAATTATTCCTTACTTAATGTTGTTTAAATGAGTAAAATTGAAATAGATTTGTCTAATTTAATTCTGCTACCAATATGTGCATATTTTGCCTGCTCTTAGATATGAGATAATGTACTCACTTCAGTAGGTTTATAACAGTCTACCAGCAGTTCCTGTTGGACAATAAGAGAAAAATAATGTCATTCAAATGTAAAAATCTGTTAAAAACTTAAGATGTAATAGAAATTGTAATACAATACTGAATCTGCAATTCTTGAGAAGGATACCTTGACCCTTGCGGCACGGTCTACATCATTCTCCATGTCCAACAGTTCATCCACATCAATCTCCAGCTCTGGAATCGCCTCCTCCTGTGACACATGAAGTAAAAGGAAATTATCTATTTGCATCAAGGATACGTCTATATTCAAATACCCCCAAGAAGAAACCGCTAACTGGAAATTACACAACTATTCTCAGAAATTCCCTACAGCTCTAAGAAATTCTGCTGTATTCACGGAGGGAAAGAAACCCAGTGAAGAAAGAGTAGCAATGACGCTGGTTGCACAGATGATTCTGGAATGTTTGTGTGTGTAAGTGTGTTTGAGTTAAGACTGGGGATCTGTCTTTAAGGCAGAAATATAGCAGTTCCTTGTTAAGTCCCCAACAGGGTTGCTGAAGGTCGGTGAAATGCTGCCCTTTTACCACTAGGGGTATCTCTTGTGTCACACAAACAGTTAAAAGTCAGCCTTTGGCCTCAACCATAACATCACACAAAATAAAGTTATCCATTTTGTTTGCAGATCAGCACAAAGAGTTTGATTAAGATGTGTTTCAATTTGCTTTACTTCCCACTTAATCATTCACTTCAGTGGAATTTATGAATCTCACCATTTAGAGGAATGATAGTTATGTTAGTCACTGGAGTGTGTCAAAATAAAAGCGTCTACTAAATGATTAAATGTAAATGTAAAAGTAAGATCCGTGCTTCATGTGTAGCTTGTGTAATTTTTTATTTATTTGGGTGTTAATTTTTTACAAACAAAAAGCATACAACATGTGAAGCTTATCTAATATAGTTACAAACACTTCTGTTCAAAAGCTTGGGTCTGGTCAGAAAGATTTTTTGAATGTTTTTGAGAGAGCTCTATTACGCTCACCATGTCTGCTTTATTTGATAAAAAATACAGTAAGAACAATAGCATTGTGAAATACTAATGCAATTGAACATTTTAGCATATTTTAAAATGTAATTGATTCCTGTGGTGGAAATATTGAATTTTCAGCATCATTATTCCAGTCTTCAGTGTCACATGATCCTTCAGAAATAATTCTAATATGCTGATTTGAACTCAAATAAGACTTCTCATTATTATCAATGTTGAAAACAGCTGTGCTGCTTAATATTTTTGTAGAAACTTTTTTTTTTGTAAATGGAAAGTTTAAAATAACAGTATTTATTTGAAAGTGCAATCTTTTGTAACTAATGTCTTTAACTGTCACTTTTAATCAGTTTAATGCAACCTTGAATTAAAGTATTAATTTCTTTAAAAAAAAAATTACTGACCCCAAACCTTTGAACATTTGTCTACATTTGTTGTTTTGGGTCTGATTTGGTAGCAATATTACAAACAAATGTTCCCCCATTCTAAACTAAGGATTAAAATTGGAATTAAAGTTTACTAAAATATGTATTTCCATATCGACTTGTCCAAGCATGCTGTTTACCTCTAGTCTGATGTTGCTATTAATCCTGATGTTTGCCCATCCATCTTAAAATAAATCTACTTTTTGATGATGAGGATGTTATTAATTTACTCTATCAATCTTAACTGACATTAATTGATTCAATATGTTAAAGATGTGATGATGATACATCCAACTTTACACATCCAAGCTGGGAAGTTCTAGCTTCATCTAATCATGAGCATGACAGAACATCAAGGCTGAAAAGAGAAGAGAAATTGAATACAGTGATCCAGCAACAAAATTTCTGGGACCAAATGTGATTTTGCACAGATTCAGATACGCATGTTTGTTTTACTGCCGTGTTTGGCTATTTTTATCAGTCCAGTTCACATATTTGGCCTTGGGCTGTTGGCAGGGCACTGGCCATGAAACAGATCTGTCTGCTTCTCTTTCTGAAGTCAGACGCCTTTGTCTCTCTCTCTTTCTCACGACCAACATTCCTAATAGCTCTAATTCAAATCAAAACCCTGATTTAAATTCAGATTCAAACTATCTCCCTATGTGAGTTTAGGTCTGTTTTCAAGAGTAAAAATCCAACCGTGCCAGTGGAGGCTCCAAACCTCAATCATACGCTGCTGTATTTTTCTCGTCTCCTTCCTTTGGCCTCCAAATTTGGTTTAGTTCTAT